TTGTAGCAAAATAAAAAAAGGAAAAAGAGAATGGAATAAGGAGCCAGAAAATGGGGCTAAAAGGTGTGACCCACAATATCAGGTGTCAGGACGAAGAGCAAATTTATTCACACCGAGCCTTGAAGGAAGGGTTGGGTTGAATATAATTAAAATGAAATGAAATAACAGAAAACTTGAGCATTAGAAGGTTTTAACTTTCCCCACATCACCCAGAACAGAGACCCCCTCCCCGGCCCAGAGATCAAGCCTGGGGGAGCGAGGGGGGGCGTGCCAATCCTGGCCACAGGCATCTCACTCTGAACAGACCATGGCAGTTTGGCTGCACTGTAAGTTACACCTCTCAAAGTCCACATCTACAAAACCCTGCACACGTGTGACGTCTGCATAGCTTCCATAGTTGAGGGGCTAACACTGAAAAAGAACACAGCTATTTCAACACTGAAAACACAGAGAAACTAAAGAGAGGGCAGCATCTGATATCATCTAACCAGCCCTGGTTTGCATTTTTGGCAGCCTCTCCAGCATTGTCCTCATATTGAATGGACACATTTGCTTTTCACGTTAGAAGATGCTAAGGACATCAAGAAAAAAACCCATAATTTTCAATACGATTTTATGCTCATATTACTACTATAAATGATAATAATCATGCTATTTTGATAATATGTTTTACTTGGCACCTTTCAGAATAACTACAGTACAATGTCCCAAGTAGATTATTCTCTAAATCTCATGCTGTTAATATACCCAATCAATACTAAGCAACAAGAGTACATTACTAATTGCTGTTTATGTTACTCACACTGATATCCTGACAGGTACATGCAAAGATAAGGTCTGTTCTCTTATTTCAAGAGCAATATGTATTCATTAAAGGATACCCTGAAAATACAAATCAGCAAAAGGAAGAAAATAAAAGATCCTAACGTCCACCCAATGCTGCGAACTACCAGTTTGCCTCCCTCTCCCATCAGCCCGCCCCTCACCAGCCCCCTCACTCTTGTGGGCACACCCTTCATCTCTCAACAAGACGACACCTGTTGGCACACAGGAAGGATACTGGTGCTGTGGTAAATGACCATTGACAACCCTGCATTTATAGAATGCAGGATTTAACAGTCACCACATATTTTATTTTGGTTCTTTCGCTCGTCTTTACCTACATGTATATCTGATAGGGAGTCACATACATTGTGACACAGATTACCAACTAGTCAGAGGCACATATTTTAAAGAAACACAGTCTCTTGGCTTAGCCACTTTGAAGCAAGAGAATAATTTTTTAAGATTCATGAAATTAGAGCAAAGCCTTTCATAATGCAATCAGATGCTCCTCAAGGTGAGGACTCCCCTGTGGCTCCAGGTGTACTTGGCCTGTGGAAATAATACGCCAGTCCCTTGAGAGGCTGGGAAGCCCAACAGCTTAGGGGATCTGGGAACTGGAGGATGCCGTCACTGACTTCTCTGTTGCCTCTGTACATACAGATTTGAGTGGGCACAGTGCACCCAACCTGAGCTAACTTGTGTTCACATGGGACGGGAACATGTCCGGCCATGTCTAGAGGGCTGGTGTGGAATTGAGGAAGGCCATTTATAAGAGTGCTAAGGAACCTTCTGGAAAATCCAGTCATCCTAAAGGCCTCCCACAGGGAGGCCCAAGCATCATCAGGGAGCAGGACTTTGAAAGCTGTGAGGTATCTATCACTTGGGTGATTGTCCCCAGAGTGAAGGAGATGAGTAAAACCTAGGAGGCATTTCATATAAAACTCTGTGACCCATGAGAGCAGAAGGGAACACAGCTCTGTGGCTTTGATAACCCAGGGCAGTGCCCCGGAGGGTATGACTGAAGCTTGCCACAGCACACAGCACGACAGCCTGAGTGTGACCTCAGACTGTCACTGAGAAGCAGCAGGGAGAGCACTCATTAGATGATCCAAGCTGGACACGAAAGGCAGAAACCACAAGAAAAGGGTTCATAGATTTGGCTACTTAAAATTTAGAAAACTTCTATTAAAAATAACAAACCCAGAAACAAAATTCAAAGACAAGTGAAAAATTGAGAGCAATGTCTATATCATACATGATCAACCAAAGATTAATATCTTTTCAAACCACAATTATGAATCAGTAAGAGGATCGCTGTCACCACCCCAACCTCCTTCAAAAAGGAAAAGAACAGCACGAACAGGTAATTTGCCAAAGGAGAAACGTAAATGGCAAATAAGCATATTTTTTAAATGTGCGACCGCACTGGAAATCAAAGAGATAATGGACAGGTGTTATTAAAGGTTGAAATACCAGTGCCAGAGTCACGAGAACAGGTAACAACTATCTGGGTCTTGGTTTTTAAAAGGCCACCCTAAAGGATAATTTGGCTCCAAAGGAATTCTTGGCTCCATTATTTTTCTGTTAGCAGAAACATTTTATGTTTATGTGCTTTAAAATCATGAGGCTAAAACCAGGGTTAAAAGACAGGTATACAACTTAAAGTCAGGAAATCCTTTATCGAAAGACACTTTTAAGTTATGAATCAAATCATTTTATCATTTTGGAACTTATATTTTAAATTTGATAATGTTGACAAGGTTAACTAGCAACTTCTTTCCTTTTGGCAGCTAGTAAAATGCGAACGGTAATATATTAGATATATTTTTAAATATTTATGTATATAATATATGTATATAGAGGTCTGTATTAAAGTGATTCAGATAAAAAATAAAATTATTTGGTCAAGTAATTGTGCTAATAAGCTTAAGATACTGACAGTGATTTCCAGGGAAATATTTTACAAATACACTTCTTAACATCCAACCTCTCAGTACAACATGTAATTGAAGCAACAGGAGTCACCTTAAACTTTCAAACCAGAAATAGGAAGCCTTCTGAATTTACATTGGTAATCACTCCCTCAAGAACATGGCAATCATGGAAGACATAAACAAAACGAAAGCCGTGGAGGAGGGATCTGAAACAGACAGAAATCACTGCACTCAGCACATTTAAAGTAACCTTTACAAATCAAATGATATGCTCCCATTTTATATCAAGGGGAATAAAGACAGGCAACCAGGAGGCAGAGAGAAAGAACTGGCTGGGGGAATAGGTGAGGGGAGAAAAGGCTGAGCAAGCCGATGAACACAGAAACAGAAAAGAAAGGGAAAAAGGCAGTTAGGAGAACACATACAAACAGGACATGATTCAAAAGAGACAGAAAGAGAAAGAACAAAAGAAACACATGGACACATGCACAGTATGAAAAATCCGTGGGAACTAAATATGCCTCTGCCCCCCAAAAATAACACACAAACACATTTTAAAGAAGTAATACATACGAGGTCTGAGAATTGAGTTTGCAAATTTGCTGCAATGATGTTGCTAACCTTTTTTTGATGTCAGAGGGTTTATTCATTATGAATTTGTATCAACTGGACAGTTAACCAAGTTTCCTGTTTGGAAGTGCTGAAAAGGCTGCGTGAAAAAGTTAGACGACCTGAACTTACCACCAATTCGCGGCTCTTGCATCACGACAATGCACCAGCTCACACAGCACTGTCTGTGAGGGAGTTTTTAGCCAGTAAACAAATAACTGTATTGGGACACCCACTCTACTCACCTGATCAGGCCCCAATGACTTCTTTCTTTACCTGAAGATAAAGGAAAGATTGAAAGGAAGACATTTTGATGACATTCAGGACATCAAGGGTAATACGACAAAAGCTCTGATGGCCATTCCAGAAAAAAAGTTCCAAAACTGCTTTGAAGGATGGACTGGGAGCTGGCGTCAGTGCATAGCTTCCCAAGGGGAGTACTTCAAAGGTGACCGTAGTGATATTCATTCAGCAATGGGGTATGTAGCACTTTTTCTAGGATGAGTTCACATACTTAATTGTCCTACCTCTCATGCACACGCACACACGTGTGTGTGTGTCTCTGTAGAGAAGTGTGTATATATGTATATGTATACGTATATGTATATGTCTATGTATAGAGAGAAATATATATATATATATATAAATATATACACCTATTTATATTTATATACACACTCACACACACACACAGAGTAATACCTTGGCTTGCAAGCATGATTTGTTCCAGAAACAAACTACTCGTATTGCAAGACATCGCTCGTTTACCATGTTAAAATGTGTTAGAAATGTTTGCTCATCTTGCGGAACACTCGCAAACCAAGTTTTTACTGTATATATGTATATATAGAAAGAGAAGCATATATAAAACTTCTCCTGTACCCTTTCTTCAATGAAGCTGTTACCATGATCAGAAGTGTTGTGATTTTGCAGCTATCTGCATACACAGAGCCAGACCCCTTTTACTAATACCCAAAGGCTGGGTGAAATTAATCTAATGGTTGATCCTGGCCCAAAGCTGTCCACTCCTGCACTTGACAATTAAAAATATTATATGTTCTGCTGCATATCCTTAAAAAAAGAGGCTAATAGTAATAATAATAATAATGCATCTTCTGAAGTTTCTGACATTGCACAAAAGAAAAACCATGAACCATTTCTCCTTTGTACTGACTGGAAGGCATTCCAAAATTGGCACAGGCGTACTTTTGTTTAAATAAATCAGTCTGCAACTGTCATTTTAACTTGAAATTGGCAAAATCTAAAAATCTCATATCTTGTATATAAAAACCTTACATTTCAGTTGTGATAAAGTGTGAATCCTTTTTTAACCTGTGATTTTAAAAGTTGTCACCCACTGGGGTAATGAAAAGAGGATGTTAATGTACTAGTTTCCTTGAAAATATTTTAACATTTTCATACAATACTATAAAACTTACCTTTATCCACTTTTAGCCTACTAGAGTAAATAATATGAAAGCTCTGTGTTTCTTTTATTTATAAAACAATCTGTTCAAGCCTTACCATGGAGCAGCAAAGTTTTCCATTTATCTCAAATTCTTTCCTTTGAAGAAATAATGTAAAGAAATCACTTATACAACCCTCTGATTAGAAATCAAATCCAAGAAGTTGTTTGACAATGAAATGTTTTATTAAACTTGATACATTTACTATATAAGAATTCTGTGAAAAAAAATGGGGTATCAAATTATTTTGGATCTAGGTCTCTGCATTATAAAGTCTGTCCCCAAAAGATGTCATATCACTGTCTCCTGTGGCTGCAAATATACGGATGACCAAAAAGCAGCACCATCCTTTCCTGGTAAGACAAGCCGGCGACTGACTTGCCCCTGGGATTACAAGTCCTCCTAGCAAAACAGAAGTCCGGACCCTCATCAGTGCCGTCTGGACAGGTGAGCTACACGAAGCCCCTGCATAGCCCTACGTCTGTGCTTGGCATGAGGTCCACACAGGATCAGTCTTGGGAAGGCCATCTTCCCCTCAACCGGGCAACTCTACTTGAACTATTCCGAGACTCCTTGGAGGGGTGAAACTTCTAGAAAAAAGAGTGAGAGAGCGGAAAAGTTCTGAATGTTGAAAGGAATACACAAACGATCAAAGTGAACTGCACCAAAGCCGAAGGGAAGGAGGAACAAGATGGAAAGCAAGCAATTTTGCAGCATGCTCTCTGGTAAGATAAAGCTGACCAGTGTTGCTGTAGCTGACGGGTCATTTGTGAAGGACGCCCATTCTCTTACCAGGCAGGGGCGTCTCTCCGAGGTGCTTGTGGTTGGTAAACAGTTCGGTGGAGTCTTGCTCTACTGATCTTCCCTCTAGGTCTGATTCTGGGATCGGGGTACAGCCACCTAGTTGAAAAATGCCAACAATATTTTAAGCATGTGTAGGAAAATCTGCCACTTCACACGACACCTACTGCTTAAAAAAATGTATCGGTCATAAAGATAATAAATGAGGTGACAATAGTCTTCAGGAACCATCTTAAGTGCCTCTCTTTGGTGATAATACTGGCAATGAGTTACTGTTCCCAAAGACATATTATACCCACGATCCCTTAGCTAACAGCAGTGGTGTTGTCTTGAAGCTTAACCTTTTTCAAGTCAGAAAGGACAAAACCTAGAGTATATGTGCTATCCACATGATGACACTTCAGTAGGAATTCCCTTTAATACCAGAGCATCAGAAACTATTAAAAAAAAAACAACCACATTGACCGCAAGGGAAGTAAGCCCCCCTTGAGCAGAGAGGAAGGTCACTGGTATTCTGAGATGGTGACCGTGGAGGCATTTTTCTGGAATTTGATTCTATCCCTGAATCCCAGCACTTTATAGCACAGACAAAGCACCTCATAACTCAATAGCAAAGCCACAAACTGCACCGTGGACGCTTTCAATTCCAAGCCAATTCCAAGGTGACTTGAGGATGAACTGGCACCACTGCGCTTTGGAAATGCTGGGACATTTGACTTTATCCACCAAAATCCTGGATGGGAAACTCACGTGAGAATTTCCTGACCACATCGACAGCTTGATTTGACTCACTTGCCACCATTTCCTAGACATGTACTAACACGCTGCACATTGTACATACAGACTTTTTTCCAAGGCCATTCTTCTTGTTAATGAAGTGTGATTTTTTTTTTCTTTTTCGGAGGCTTCTCATACACAGAGTCCAAAGCCTTGATACTCAAATTGGGCTTTATGTGAGAGGGGGTGTATGAAGACAGAGGGGATCAGCAGTACTTATTTGTAAACCACATCATTCAAATGAGAAGGAAGTGGAAAGATCCCAGGTCTGAAGGAAAATACACCTCACCATTCATCCCTCTGCATCAACTCTGCAAAAGAAATCGGCACCGAGGGAAACTTGAAAGAAAAGCATGTCCACATTCATAACATAAGAATTAGCAGTAGCCTCCGAGGTTCCCTGAACAGGAAATGTTAGAATTATCCATCAGTGCGATGGAACTCGCCCAGCTGTATCTGAAGATGGTGAGGGCCCATCTAGAAGAACCAGGCTTATTTTTAATCTCTTTCCCAAGTCCGCAGATCATGGTAACAATAACTATCATTATTAAGTGCTTTCTATTATAAGTGCTAGAAACTCAGCCCATATTATCTCATTGACTTCCTACAAACCACATCATGAAAGAGATATTATTATTCTCAATTTAAGGACAAGAAAACTGAGATCTCATGAGATTCGGTAACTTGCCAAGGTCACACAGAGCCTATGGAGTAAGACGGAACTCACACCCAAGCCTGACCGCTCCTAAAGCGGATGTTATCTAACTACTTTACTATGTGGCTCCGCGCTGCATCAGTAGCCAAAGGGATCTCAGGTTTCGGCAGGTTTTATGTCACCTGGGGATCCACTGAGTATGGCTGCCAGAAGCACTCCTTAGAGTACTCGTGTTTTGAAGGCCAGGGGCAGTGCAAGGTTTGGAGACCTTTGGGGAAGCCCAAGAAATAGCATTCTTCTTCTCCTCCTGGACCCTCATGCAACTGATAAAAAAGAAACAGCCTATGCGGGTGGAGGAGGGGTACCTCTGTAAGGCTGATGGGGGTAACAGACAGAATGAGCTGCTCCCTGCAGAGCAGAACAACACTGATCCCAAGAAAAAAGGCCAAAGAATGGCTTGACTTTTCCTTCCAAATTCACAAATCAGATGAAGTCATTTTTCCGTCCCTGAGACAAAGGGAGGGGGAGGCAGGGTGAGGCCAGGACCACTGTACTCATGTACCCACCTTCACACACAAGGAAACTTCAGCGAGGAGAAGTGTCCCCAGCAGACGGACGGGAAAGAGGGCAGTCATCAGCTGGCAATGTCTGCCCTGTGCGTGGAGAGAGGTAGCTCTCCAACGATGAGTTAGTGTCTACCTTTTATTCCTGCTGACTCAATATTGGGATGAGACGGAAGGATGAAGACTTAAACAAAACACTTCCTAGTTCGTCAATCATATGGGCACAAGAGAAAAAGTCAGTTGCTATAACAATCAACAACTTGGGTCATTTCCTCTCTTCTCCTTGGCACAGATAGCCTTGCCCTGTCTTGAGCACAGAGAGATGACAAGCGTCTCCAATCCCACTGCAGGCTGACCAGTCACTGGCCCTGGGAATCCCACCCTTCTTTCTTTGGATGCCTCCCTGCAGCCAGACTGGTCAGCATGTGGGATCTGGTGTCTTAACTAATGGTAAATGGAAGAAGGGGAGGAGCTAGGCAGAGAATTCCTCTCCTGTCTCTCTCATGGGTCGACTGAATTCATTGTTTCTTTTTTGCCCAGAAAAGCGCTGTGTGCTGAGTGGCTGCTGCCGCTGGGTTTGTGCGCAGCTCTTTGAGATGGTGGTCAGCAGTACTGCTTTGTCTTACTTCACATAATTCCTTTTGCTTCATCCTCTATTCCCTGAGTTTGCCGAGTAAACAGCCATTATTTTAATCCTTACCTCAGACTCTGTTTTCTTGCAAAAATCATTGGTACTGGAAGTAGTTTAAAAAGGAGGCCTTTAAGATGGAATTTTGAAGTTAGACAGTCCACCTATCTGTGAGAAACAGAATGGGAATAACCTCTGTTATGCAATGACTTAAGCTTCACCCATGGTTAACTGGGGTGACGTGGACGTAGAGGTCAAGGCCGGGAGATGAAGCAGCTATGGCACGGAAACTTTATAATTACAGGGATTCCCAGTACAAAGGCTGCTTCTGATGACTATATAGCTTGTAAAAAGAACGTGGCAAGTTCAGTGCACTTCACGGGCAAGGGAAGGCCAATCCCAAAAGTCAGAAGGTCCCTAGGGCCTTAGAGCTCATGGGACCAGCAGCACCAGGTATCACCAAGGAGATTGTTGAACTACAATCTCAGGCCCCACCCACACCTACTGAATTGGAATCTGCTAAGGACAGATGAGTGTATCTGATGAGACTTTTGCTAAAATATTGAAAAAAAATTGTTAGAAATTTCAGCATTAACAGTAAAAGGAGAGAAATAAAATTTAAAACTTCCAAACTAACAGAGACCTTCTGAAGCCCATCTGTGGAAACAGGGCCTGAGTTCTACAGACGCTGGGTGATGTACCCTTAGCTTAGAGCCTTCCCATCAAAGGAGAAGGGGAAGAAAAACCAGACTTGGAAGAAATCATCCAAACACATTGCGTGTGCAACATCCGAGCCAATAGGCAGAAAAAGAGAGAGCCCGGGACTTCCTGATCTGGAAATCACAGTATATGGACCTACTGTGTGCTGGAGACTCGGCTATGAATTCTCAGTGCATTAGCTCACTCAATCCTCAACCCTGTAAGGAAGTGCTGACTGGTCTCATTTTGCAACTGTAAAGGTACTGATATTAATTTGTGTTTTTTCTTCTGCTGCCCTCCTGCATTTCCTCTCGCCCCAAAGTTTCCCTGGGCCATTCTGTGCTTCCTTGCCTCAGAAATTTGTAATGGGGCCAAATCAAAAGTAGCCTGAAAATACTTTCCTTTCTAGCCTTGGTTTTCTGCAGCCTGAGCTCACTGAAGAATGGAGTTATCTCTGGGCAGCACAGTAAGCGCCGGTGTGCTGGTAAATGTGTAACCAGCTGGGTCTCAAGGAGGAAAAGAAGTCCCCATCTGTAGTGTTGGCCCATTTCTGTGGTATAAATATGCCCGTGATAGCCAATTTCAAACAACCAATGTGACACCACTGAAAGCGGAGCTTGGCAGAGATGTGCACAAGTGACGACAGTGACATGGAGTAAAATAATTAGTCACGAGTTTTAAGGCATATTACCTTTGTTCATAATACAACTTATTTGGTTATAAGTTAAGGCAATTTAATTTTTAATATGGCTGGATTTATCCACTGGGTTTATCAACAGAATTCCTAAAATTCAACAATTGGCTCTCAGGGCTAGTGGAAGCTGGCTCCGGCACGGAAGGCAGGCGCGGTGTAGGGGCTTAACGTTATGTTCTGAAGCCTCGAGTCCAATTTGGGCTCAGTATTTAGGAGCCAGGTGACCCTCTTGACCAGGTTACTTCACTTGAATGAGCCTCATCTCCTCATCTATAAAACAAAGACTCTGGCCACCCTACTTTATAAGGGAAACAGTGTTGAGTGTGTATAGATGCCTGGCACACTGGAAAACACATTCAGTTCTGACGACTTTCAGGTCAAAGTCAGGGACACTAAAGAAGAGTAGAGTGCGAGGCCAAAAGAAAGGTCCCTGAAGGTGGAAGTCTGAAGGGGTAGGGCTCACTTAGGCGGATACACCCAAGGGGCCAATGACACAGCGCTGCTGGCAGCCAGGAAGAAAGTGCCCAGAACCCACAAACATGTGACCTCCTCTGACGGTGGCTATTCTCGTTGAATCATGCCCTCTCTGATATCTTTCCTGCTACTTGATCTGCGGAGTTCTAATATTCAATTCTACCCCAGGTGAATCCTGGTGGCCCAGCTCACCTGCCTCACTAGCTACACTGTAACTGTAATAGCCTGTACCAGGGGTTGGCCAGATAGTAACTATTTTTTAAGCTCTGTGGGCCATCTGGTCTCTGGTGCAACCATTTCTTTTTGCCATCATAGTGAAAAAGCAATTTGTAAACGTGAATGGGCATTAGCTGTGTTCCAATCAAACTTTATTCGCTAAAATAGGCAGCAGGCCCACATATGGCCCCTGGCTGTAAGAAGTTTGCCAGTGGTTGGTCCCCTGGCCTAATTCAAGGTTCAAGGAAATCTCCTCTTCACACTGGATTCTAAGTCTGAAGGTTCCTAGAGGCATTTAACACTGACCTATCATGTTATAGAATAATGGTGGTAATAATAATAATAATAATAATAATAATAATAATAATGAGGAGTAGTATTTGTTTAAAAGTA